GAGACAGAGTCTCATTAAGTTGCGTAGGGCCTTACTAAGTTGCTGAGGCTGACTTTGAACTTGTCATCCTCCTGCCTCAGCCTCAGCTGCTGGAATTACAGGTGTGTGCTAACACACCTGCCCCCTGCCCTCATTTTTTTTTCCTGATGATTGAACCCTGGGGGCTCTTCACCACTGAGCTACATCCCCATCCCTTTTTATTTCTTATTTTGAGATGAGGTTTTTTGCTAACTTGCAGTCCTCCTGAGTAGCTAGGATTATAGGTATGTGCCACTGTACCTGATTCTACTATTTAGTTTTTATTTATGGTTAATGTTATATATGTGAGAACCAATTCAAACTTGCTTGTATCTGGGAAATAGTATTACACTGAAGATAAGAATTAGCTTGCCTGAAGAAGTTATTAGTCATAACTGTGATTATCGATAACTCCTGGAACCTGGGGAGGTAATGGGATGATTTGGACTGAGGATGGAATAGGAAATGTTTTGGAAGGAAGCAAATAAAACTATTAGGTGGTGTACAGACCCCCAAGAGAGTTTATATCATCTGGTTCAAAAGTTTTCTGGAGCAAATGACAAAACTGATTGTCGGAAGTATTTTTAATTAGCTGAAATGGATCCAAAAGAAGGAGTGCAAGTCCAAGTCAACAGGGGAAGTTCATTGAACTTCCTATTTAAAACAGATGTTTTATCAGAACTTATTAATTTCTGAATGTGATAATAACAGGATTGAATCCTGAAGCAGTTTATGGATATGAGACACTTAAACAATACCTAAGTATTCCTGCTTCTAAATGGTATATAGAATGTAGGACATTTTTACAGGTGAGTAATTGTCTACGGAAGCAAGTCCAAAGCTGAGGTTTGGTAGCTGGTGGAGAGGAAGAACACATTCCTAAGTTGGTTCAGTGTTCTTCAGTGTTCTTACCCTGATAGGTAAGGAGCCATGGAACATGGGAAGCAGGTGATAAGCCAGCAAAATTGATGAACATATAAGAAGAAATGTTTTCTGTAACTTGATGTGTACTTTTCTACAGATGAAACAGCCCTCCTGTACTGATGCAAAGTTCTGCTATGAGTTGAGCTTCTGCTATGTTTTGTCTTTGTTGTGTGATTTTAAAAGAGTTTTTGCCTATTAAATGGATGGTGTCTGATTTACTAGAGCAGACCTTTAAAATTCAGAGCTCAAGTGTTTTCTTGCAGAGAGTTTGGCAGAGTAAAAACATGTACTGCTTGAGGAGTTACTGACTCTCCAGGCAGTACATCTTTCCCCCTCTATAGCCAAGGAGATCTCCTGGGAAGAAGCAATATTTCAATTTGTTATGAGGTTGCACCACTCTAGCACTCAAGAGACATTCTCTCCAAATTTCTCCCCAAATACTGGTGGCTCATGCACACAGTTCAAGTCATGTGGTTTGCCAGCATTTTTGACATACCACCCATAGATAGCAAATAGTAAGGTCAGAAATCAAGTACAATTATGAATTGACAAGAAGTTGAACTTCCTTTGCATGGAAATTATCTAATAGCTTGTGCAATAAAGAATGAATTAATAAGCTACATCAGAGTTCATCATAATGTCATAATAACAAAAAATGTATTTAAATGTGTTACCTGCAGTTTCTTATGGAAAAAAAAAAACATCAATACTGAAGAGAAACATACAGGGGAAAATGTCTAATAAGTGCATTTTGTAAATTGTTAATGTTAACAATAACATACAAATTCAATGTTCCTCATATGCAATATGCTGATTAAGACTTAGGGATTTTTTTCCCCTTTCTAATTAGAAAAAAAGGAAATCATATTAATAAAGGTTTGTATGGGGCCCAAATTTAAGTGTTGGTTATTTTGAGATCACTGATAGAGGTGGTACTTTGATCTTTAGTCTGATGATTACATGCTCTACAAATTACTAGTGTCAGAAAAATGTATCTAACCAAAAATGATTACAGAATTATATCTGTACTGAGGTCACTTTAGAGGCCCCATATAACCTATACTTTATTCTTATTCTGAGATAAAATAAAGACAGAATAGGATATGGAATTAAATTTGCTGAGTTTCTAACTTTGGTAAAATGTAAACATTATTCTGTTGTATTAAGTAATAAAAAAAGAAGAGACTGGAATTCTGCTCCTCCTTCCTTTTTTATAGAAATATAATGGCATTAATCTCTAAATTGTTAATTTTTTTTCTTGGCAACTGTGAACTCCATATGTATCAGAGAGTTTTGCTCTATAATGAGTTACTTCAAAATTTAATAGTGTAAAACATTTATTTCTTAGTTTTGGATCCTGGGTGACTGATTCTTACCTAAGTTCACCTGAGACTTGGGGAAAGCATGGATAATAAGCAACTATAGGCTTAACAAAATCTCTTTAATAAAAGTTTTATAAAGTCTGTCATAGATCTTGTCTCACTGTCACTATAAATGATACAACATGTGTCTTCGTGTATATAAAACAAGAAAATTTGGGCATAATTGTATTTTTAATAAAGTTTATTTACATAAATATCAACTGATTTATCATTAAAGTAGAATTTATGTATAATCATGTTTGGCATTATCAAGTATTTCTGAGACATTTCTCTATCTAGATATATGCATGCATTTCCAATTTATTATTATTATTATTTTTGGTACCAGGGATTGAACTCGGGGCACTCGACCACTGAGCCACATCACCAGCCCTATTTTATATTTATTTAGAGACAGGGTCTCACTGAGTTGCTTAGTTCCTTGGGGTTGCTGAGGCTGGCTTTGAACTTGCGATACTCCTGACTCAGCCTCCCAAGCTGCTGGGATTACAGGCATAAGCCTGGCTCCAATTTATTAATTTGAAATAATAATGAAAAGTAATGGTAGAGCTAAAATAATATTTCTTCTACAAATAAACCCTTTGTCCCCATGTATTTTCACCAAATATTAATTATAAGTAGCTATTGTTAAAGATTTGAAAATGCTAGGATGAAGAGAAAGCACTCTAGGAATTAAGAGGCTTGCATATTCAACAAGAAAGAAGAGATGGGAGTAGCACAGAATGTTAACCTTGCAAGATACATTAGAGATGATATCTAGTCTCATTTTGTATCAAGAAAGCAAAGGCATAAGCACTCTGAATCACATCTATGATAAGAATGATTCAGGATTTCACTCTTTTAAAATTGTTCCTATGCTTTCTTAAGGGAGGGAAAAGGAGAAAATACTTTAATTGTATTAAGGGGATTTGAGATCTAGGCCTTTTCATTCTTTGAAACCTACTACAAAAATTATTAAAACATAAGCATCAGCTGGGTGTGGTGGCGCATGCCTGTAATCCCAGTGGCTTGGGAGACCCAGACAGGAGAATCACCAGCCTCAGCAACTTTGAGGCACTAAGCAACTCAGTGAGACCCTGTCTCTAAATAAAATACAAAATAAGGCTGGGGATGTGGCTCAGTAGTCAAGTACCCCTGTGCCCTGTGTTCAATACTTGGTACCAAAAAATAAAAAATAAAAAAAAATTTTAAAAAAGCATTTAGTGAGAAACAACATTTGAATCTTAGACTCTGATTTTTAATTACATTATATTTTAATTGGTGCTTTGTTATTGTTTTGTCTGAAGATATTGACACATTTTTAGGCATTTAAAGAAGTTAAAATAATTTTTCAATGTAAAAAATATGATTTTTAGGGTTTTATGGTATGGTGGAAAATAGTATTATATGTCTTAAAATCTTTACAAAACCTTCACAGCTTCATTTGACTTTGCTATTGTCTATTCTATCTTAAATTCAAGTTGAAAGGCTGAGGAAAGGAATGGAAATATCTCCACCTAGTGGTTTCCCAGGGGAAAGTTAATAAAACCAAACAAAATATTTCTTTCCATGGAAGATTATCCACTGTGCATAATTAGCAGGAAACAGGTTTTTGGTATAATGAAATTTAATTATTGCTTATTCAGATATTAACTACAGAAGTAAGAACAAAATGTACACTGGGATTGTGGCTCAGTGGTAGAGGGCTTGCCTAGCATGTGTGAGGCACTGGGTTCAATGATAAATAAAATAAAGGTCCATTGAGAACTGGAAAAAAAAAGAGAATAAAATGTAAATAATAGATATTTGAAGTTAAAGAGAATAATAAGTGTAAATTTCTTCATGCTTTTGATAAACTCATTAACAAGTTTTTGCACTTACAAAATTACTATATGTGGGCATGGAGGTAATAAAATTTTCAGGTGGAGAAATTATCTGAGGCTTAGTTATTTTTGCTGCTCTATATAATCTCAGTGATTATAGAACTCTGTTTTATATTTTTTACCAATATAGTTCCATGCCTAGCATATTGTAGACCTGTAGTTCTTAAAAGGTTGAATAAAAGTGATGATGATACATGTTCATGATGGCATAAAGGTTAGTATAAAAGCAAAAACAATCAAATAAATTTAAATATTAAATGTACATAATGTGACTGGACTGTTCTAATTACTATCTCAATATCTTAGTTTTGAAGAATGAATTTATATTTAAAAACATATAGTTAATGCAAAAGGAAGCAGAGACATGAGTGAATCATTTGTGACTTCTTAGAATAGAGAATGGATATCTCCTTATTAAAAACAGCCCACATACATAAAAAAAATTAAAGGGGCATAAATATCATTCAGAACAGACAGTTTGGCCAAGAGAAGTCTGTTTTCCCATTATGAGGCTTGTATATGGTAATTACTATCTTTGTATTCAGTCTATTCCTTGGGTAATATTGACCTAATATGGTTAAAATGTTAAGTCATGATTTCTAATGGGTTTTTGGAGGCAAAGCACATATGACAATATAAAGAAGTTACCCAAGAATAGCAGGGGATCCTATTGGGCTTATGTACCTGTTTTTGTTTGTTTTGTTGTTTAACACTTAAGGTCCTTTAGTGAAATGATGTAGTATTGATCATTTCATAAACTATCAATTTGAGTTTCAGTTTAATTGAAAATCCTGTATTTTTCTTCTCTTTATAGAAAGCATCATCATTCATCAGTTACGTATGAACTCCAGATGAGATGGTAAACCAAGCACATACTGGGTGTGTGTACTTCCTCTGAATCCCTGTTGAATGGATATTTCTGCAGCTCTCTGTTATTACTAAGGTCCTCCATGCTACTGATCACAACTGGAAATATCTTACTACTTCCAGTGATTTTTTTTTTTTTTTGAGGATATAATGGAAAAGCTAAAAACAGCCTTGCTGAAAATATATAGTAAGAGCAAGTGAATTTTTGTGCCAAAAGAAATTTCCTTTTGGGAAGCTTTCAGGTCCATGGGCACATACTATGTAATTTATTTTTATAATACATTTTGTAACATGATTTTTTTCCCTAAAGTGTTTCTTTTTTCATAGTCTATGGCACATATATCTGTAGAATACACTGTTAGTTCTTTAAAGTATTGGTGTTGTTACATTCAAAATGGTAAACTATTATTATTTTCTTTTTATCAATTTGGTATTTCTGAAGAAAAGAAAGCATACCACTGTATTTCCCAGGGTAAATTCAAGAGGTAAAACCTAGAAACAGGATATTCTGGAATCAGTTTGTACAACTATACTTGTACAATAGTCTAGTTCTACTGATGGTTCAATAATCACAAATAATGCTCTGAGTTTAATTTTAATAAAGTTGCTCTTTCTGGTGTTTTGTGCCAAAAACCCAAGATGAATTGGTTTTCAAATAAATTAATATAATGAGATATCAGTTTAATTGTAAAGGGAAACAGGAACATATATGAGTGACCATTCAATTATATTTCTTTTTTTTTAGTTGTAGATGGACACGATATCTTTATTTTTATTTGTTTATTTTTATGTGGTGCTGAGGATTAAACCCAGGGCCTCATGCATGCAAGGCAAGCACTCTACCACTGAGCTACAACCACAGCCTCTCAATTATATATCTATTTGCATTATTTACTTACATGTATAAGACATGATAAGAACTGTGATAAAGATATTTCTTCTTCAACAAAGGCTTGCAAATAAAAACTGACCTATATAATGTCAGCATCATTTTAAAATTAGAGAAATCCACTAACATTTTCCCCGATTTTGATAATTTTTCATAACCACATGTATGTAGGAAATATTCCTTTAAGATCAAAGCACAACATGTATTAATCTCAACATCAAAGCTGCTGTTGAATTTAGATTTATGTGAAAATGTGCATCTAAAGTCTACTTGAAACTCTAGTAATTCAGTTTTTTAAAACTTGTGTTTTTTTTTTTAAAAAAACTTTGCTAATATGGATATTTTCAATAAGGTCTTTAAAGATAGTTTAAAGGTAAATTAAGAGTTGGTGCATCAATTTCTGAATGCAGAAGTCATTTATCAAATAATTTTCCTGAGGTTAAAGAGAGAATGCCACACAAGTAACACTGTTGGCTAATCTCTGCAGTCCACAGGTTGTACTGGGGTTTATAAACCAGAGAGGGGACTCCACATTGAGTCTCTGGAATGAAAAAATTAATACTAAATTTCCTTTTCAATGTAACCTTGGAAGATTTTAAAATATACCTTGTGGAATTGGCACATCATTTTCAATATGTATTATAAATGAAATAATTATATTTTGTTAAAATTATTTTTCCTTTTTCTTTTTTAAATAAAAGAAATGCTACAGTAGGCTTGCCCTGGCTTGAATGATTGTGGAAGCATCACAAAACCTCCTGTGATTTTGATTACTGACTCAGAAAACTAGAGTGTGTATGTGTGAAGATTTTAAAAACTGTTACTATGTTTTGTTTTCTGAAAAGGTTTAACTGTAATAACATTTTCAATTAGAAAATAGTTTTATTTAACATTGTTAAATTTTTCAAGTCACAGTTAAGTGTCCTATTTGCCAATGTTTATATATATGATGGCAAAAACATTTGGATATGTCACAGATTAACATTTGAAGTGAATTAATTTTTTTCAACTTGTGGAAATTTTATTATGCTAATAGTGAAAAGGTTAGAGGATAAGAGTTTAAATACTTTAAATTAAAATATTATTAGCAATTTATGTATATTTGGGTCTAAAGTGCTTTTTCCTCCTGAATTTATAATGAAAATTGGTACTTACAAGAATAGTGAGGACAGTGGTACAGTCAATAATTTAGACAGACACAGAATTTTTTTCTGTCTATGCTATGATTAATTTCTGTTTAGACATAATTGGAATCTGAGTGACAGATGAATACAATTAATCACATTAATTTTTTTTTTTTTTTTTGGTACCAGGGATTGAACTCAGGGGCACTTGACCACTGAGCTATATTCCCAACCCTTTTTTTGTATTTTATTTAGAGACAGGGTTCTCACTGAGTTGCTTAGCACTTCATCATTGCTGAGGCTGGCTTTGAACTGGTGATCCTCCTGCCTCAGCCTCCCCAGCCACTGGGATTACAGGTGGTGTGCAACCACCATGCCAGGATACTCACATTAATTTTGAACTGAGAGAATATCAACAAAATAGATCATAAATACTCACACCTTGATGTCTATATCCAATTGAAAATGTTGATTGTATATGAAATCTTGGCACTATAGTAGGATTGCATCACATAATTACTGTATCTTTTATTTTAAATGAATCTCAATCATTACTCTGAATGAGAATCATTTTTGAATGTAATAAATGTAAATGCTTTCTGAAGTAAAATCACAATCTGTTTCCAGTTCAAGGCACAACGACTGAATTAGCCCATTGTTTTAGGCTTTTCTTCTTGACAACACAAGTGTTTTTGGAGGGTGTCTTCTGCAGGTGTCCTCCCCCCCCCTTCAAGTATCTCATAAAGTAGTGGGGGTTTGATGAAGATAAAGATAAATAATCCAGATGTCTGGTTTCTGGAATGTTAATAAACTATGAAGAATCCATTGTATCTTAAGACAACCATAAAAAAAATTCATAATGTGGATCACCTAGTTTAAGCATTAATGAAAACATTGACACTACTGAAATAATTCAAACCTTCTAAGAACCATTGGCAAAACAAAATAAATGATGTATCAGGAATGCAATATTTTTGTCCTTTCCATTAGTGCTGTGATTGAATTTTCCTGGGGGGGGGGGGAAGAAAAAGTAAGCAGAGCAAAAGTAAGTTGCATTCATGAGCTTTATGAACAATATATCTAAAAATAGCTAAAGTACAAAATGGAACTTTTAAAAAAGCATAATGGGCACTTGAGGCATATTCACCTTCTTTACCCCCCAGTGCTATGCCTCTACTAAAAATACTAATCAGGAAGCAGAAACATAAAAGAATAAACTTGCTATAATAAATTTATAACAATTGGGAGTTTGTTGATTATTAGTATTTTCAAAAATTTTCAGTATTTATTCCATAATTATATGATGACAAATGTGCTTGTTCTCTAGGGAAAATGTAATAGGTTCATAAATTTGAATAGTAATGTTTATGTATGCCATAATGTGGTAAATTTATTTTCTGGTATTGTTTTTTGTTTGTTATTTGGAGAACTTTACCTTACAAATCACATATTTTATTATTTTAACAGTGCAGATGTGTATTTATTTAATCTAAATTTTGTTTTAAAAATATCAGGTGTTAGATTCTCCAATATAAGAGGCTTTTAAGATGATCAGATAGTCTTGGAATCCTTGCATGTTTAATGGATTTTCAAAAGCAAAAGAGTACATTTTGGAAAAATTTTGGAAATACATTATATTTTACACCATTCTTAATTTTGCCTCTTGTAAGTTTTATTAAATATTTGAGAAGTTTATTATTTTTCACTGAAGTCAAGTAGATTTATGTACTTGTCTTTTCTATGAATGTTATAGCCTGCTTTCAGTTCTTCACAGGTAATTGAAATTAACCAATTAAGACATTCTCTGTGTTAGTTTTCAAAGTCAATTATGTTTATGAAAATTTCACCAGAGCTTGAAAAATAACTATTAAAATAATAAATCACTGTGCAATACCCTTATTTTGAGTTGGAACATAATACTTATAAAATTAAAATCATTTAAAATCAGTATGAAACCTTTTTATTTAAAATCATTTGCTTTACAATAGTTTTCGTTTTGTATTTTATAAGTAAAATATAATTAAATACATTTAAAAACATAGTGTCCTAAAGGTACCAAAAACATGTTGGAGAAAAAATAGGCTTTTTAATCAATGGTGCTGGGAAAGCTGGATATCTGTATGAAAAAGAATGAAACTAGATCTCAATCTCTCATCCTGTATGAAAGTCAATTCAAAGTGTATCAAAGACTTAAGGATTAGATCAGAAACACTGCTCCTGCTAGAAGAAAACATAAGACTAATACTCTAAAATATAGGCACAGGTATCAACTTCCTTAATAAGACCCCTAATGCTCAAGAAATAAAACCAAGAATCAATAAGTGGGATAAAACTTATTAATAAAATTTATTCCTGTACAGCTTATTCCTGTACAGCTTCTGTAAGGAAGGGAAATAAGAACATGAGGACAGAGCAAACAGAATGAAAGAAAACCTTTACCAGCTACTCTTCTGACAGAGAATTATATCCAGAATATTTAAAGAACTCAAAAAACTTAACACACACAAAAACAATAACAAAAAAACCAAGTTAATCAATCTACAAAGCCTTGTAGATTCAAACAGCGACTCTTTATTCCCGAACTCTCACTGGCACTCTACACGCACTTTCCGGGAACACACTCCCTCCACTGTGCTCCGTGCACCAATTCTCCCCGGAACCAGAACTCAAAGGGAACTCCAAAGTAGCAGGTACCCGAGGCAGAAGGATCCGCCCTGATCCCAGCAGGATCTGCCCTAATCCCGGAGCAGCCCTAATCCCAGAGCAGGGTCACCTTTCAACCATTCCCTCTAGCAAAATGCCAGGCGTCATTCCGACTAAACTGTGGCTCTCAACATCTACCCCCTTCTGTTTAATTAAACAACAAGCACGTGGCTTAGGGACCATGTCTATCTTAGGTTGTCCAATACTACATATGGTCCTTACCCGTCATCGAATGATCTGACTCAAGGCGTCAGCCTCCTGTCTTAGGTTGGTACCATTGTAATTGGATCTTACCCGTCATTGGCTACCGGTCCAGCATACAGCCATACTTGTGGATAGGTCTTTGCACCAGTGGGGGGGTGAGGTTCTTTGCCTCACCTCTGTTGGCCCCCAAATTTGGTCTTGGTACCAGTGGGGGAGTGAGGTTCTTTGTCTCACCTCTGTTGGCCCCCAAATTTGGCCTTGGTGCCAGTGGGGGGGTGAGGTTTTTTGCCTCACCTCTGTTGGCCCCCAAATTTTAGACCATCACAAGCAGAAAGGAAGGAGGATGCAAAATGCCACGGCACCAAGCCAAATGATGGCTCTTTCTGGAAAAATTGTACCACCAATGACACCATCAACAAAGATACTCCAGCAATACCACAATTCACTGCACCAACAGTTAGTTCACAATGCATGCAAGTGATACATAGTCCAGGCAAGTTCTGCAAGCAGTTCAAAGCAGAGGAATCCATTAATATGTCCATTTCCTCGGAAAGTAAATCGACTTCTTGATTGAGCATCACTTGTTGAGTTATTATTCATTGATGCATCAGTTTATACAGTTTACTGTGATAGCTATCGAAGAAGCTGTAGCTTAGTTTTATCTTTGTCTTCACCAGCACTGGGATGAAGATAGGAATTCTGGCAATGATGGCCAAAAAAAAAATTATGTAATATTCCAGCAGGCACTAAGAAAACAATTTTCTGAACAATTTACATTATCCTGAACAGAATTATTAAATATAATGAAAAGGAAAGGTGAAAGTAAACAAACAGATCTGTTAACCACCTTTAAAAACAATCCTTAACAGCTGTTTACCTAATTTAAATTAAATCATTTAAATCATGTGAATAAAAAAAAAATATTCGGATCCATTTTTTCATGAGCGCTCCCCATATATATGGGCATACACATATACAGACATACAACACAAAACAGAAGTGTGCACACATAACATACAACACATAAGACAATAGTAAAGGCCTTGTAGCTTTACACAGGTGAAATCTCCATTGCAATGTTTAAAAACTCCACAGTAAAAAAATAGAACTGATCAGAAAAACATTAACCTAGGTCTGTATGAGCTCAAAAAATAAAATAGAACTTCATGCTGTGAGAAAAGGCAATAATAAAATAGATATTGAAAAAGGCATCCTGGTTACAACCTGGGTTTGAGTCTTCTTTGGATATCCCATCCTTCTTCCTGTAACTTGCATATGAGTCTGAAGGTATTCCCACAAGTAAGCCCCAAGGTTTCTTACATTTGAAATAGGTCTTAATGGTGTTCATTATTCATTAGCCTCCAGGTGTGGGAGAATCACTGTCGCAGATGTAAGAATAGCCAAACTGGAGTTCTGAATATCAGCTGTTATGGATTTGAGCCAAGTCATCTTCTTTTTGGTCTGTAGAAATCGCTTTAGTTAATCTCTCTGGAATCCAAATCGGCTGCTGTTCTCCCTGTGGAAACACACAAACAGACCCCCGACTCCAGACAATCACTGAGTCAGAACCTTTCCATTGTCCTGTTAGAATATCCTTCCAAAGTACCTTAGGCTTATGTACATTTTTTGGACACATATGCCTTTCCGCAGCACTAAGCCCTGATGAATCCAAATTTAAAAAGTTTAGAGTAAAAAGGGTTATTTTAAGTTTATCTTTGGGGGATATATACCCCTTTCCAATTCCCTCTTTTTGCTTTAATAAGTACATTTTAATAGTTTGGTGAGCTCTTTCAACTATGCTTTGTCCCCGTGGATTGTATGGGATTTCTATTAAGTAAAACATTAACTGATTTTTCTTCAGGGATGATGTTCCAAAATATCCTATATGCATCCTTTGGAAATTTAAAGATCCTTTTAAATTCAAGTCTTCCAAAAGCATTTTGCCTTAGTTTTTAGAATTACTTTAGTCCTTTTAATTTTTTGATGTGGTTTTAAACCAATTTCCTTCTAGTTTAACATTTTCTAAATTGGCTCTTGCCTATAAATTTTAACACCCTCATCTGAGACTTCTAATTTCTGCACCACCAGTTGTTGGGCTTTTTGAAAAAATTACTAATAATCTCCTTGTTCTTCTATTTTATCCAATATTTGACTTTAAACTTCTCTCTTCTACCTTTTCTATCTTGATTGTCTGTATCTAATAGTTGTCTTAGCTTTTTGCATTTTTTTATCTGAAATACCTTTATTTGACATTTTTAACCATTTTTTATCTTGTTTCTATCTTCTAATTTTTTAAGGTTTGTACATTCAGCCTTAGTTGCTTTTTTTTTCCTCCTAGTTTTTTTTTCTTCCTATTTTGTGGGTTTAAAATTTTTGTCTTCCTACATCTTCTCTTTTTTTTTTTTTTTTTTTTTTACCATTCTGTACTTTTGTCTTTAAAGTTTTTCACTTCAAATTTTTAATCTTCTTTATCCAAATATCTTTTATCCTATTATCTTCTCATTTTCATGTTTTTTTTAAGTAATGCTTTTAAGATTAACTAGGCTTCGAATGACACAATCTTTCCTCCGCCATGAAGGCATCTTAACCACCTTTAATTTAACCTTTTAAAGCCTTTTGTAACTTACTTAGACATTTTACAACTTTTTACTTTACCACACAAAGATTATCTCATCTAGAAACATTTCTTTTTCCTTTAACCTTTTATATTAAAATATATTTCCACATCTTGAATCTTTTTATATCTCTTTTCTAGCTGTTAACCCTTTTTATAAATTCACATTCTGAAACAACCCTTATAAAATTTCTGATTTAGACAAATTACTCCACTTTAATAAGATGAAATACTTTCATGTTTTTTTATGGTACTATACTATAATTGAAACCCAACTGAAACTTCTTATACTCTTTGTATATAAATTACACTTGATAGAATCTTAACTCTTAGTAACCTTGTTTAAGCAAAGACACAGACACAAAGCAATATTAAACCTTTTTTCCATTTACCAATTTATGAAAACACACATAATGTTTAAATATATTACCTTATGGAACTTAATAAGTAAAGAGTACTTGATTTTATATTTAGTGGTTGATGTTTCAATACTTTAGCTTTGTAAATTAATCAGATGTCTGTAAAAACCAAGATCTTAGACAAGTGTAGTAAACAGAACTAGCCATCTCTTTCTTATTGAAGAAAAATCCTTCTACAGGATACCATGATGGTTCCATTGTGATATATTTAATAACTCCTCTTTAAAAAGCCATGGGCTACATTTTTGTATTGTATCAACATATGCCCTAATTGTTCTTGGTCTTACTGGTGTGCCTCCTTCCTCTAACAATTTCTCTTCCTCAGGGGCGAACAACTTCAAACTTTGAGTCAACTATTTTCCCCAGTTTGCCTGAGAAAGTTCTAGGGACAGGCAACTTGAAATAAAAACAAAATAAATCAAAACAAGAACACATTGTTTTTTGAAATGGTCATCCATTCTCACGCTCTTCCTCAGGGGCGAGCAATTTCACTTACCTCCAAGCTTCAGGCATTCCCCGTACGGGCCACCAAATGCCGCAGTCTGGCTGGGCACAAAATAACCGAGCTGCCACAAAGCCTTGTAGGTTCAAATAGCAACTCTTTATTCCCGAACTCTCACCGGCACTCTACATACTTCCTCCACCGGGCTCCGCGTGACAAGAACCCCTTGAGAACTCAAAGGGAACTCCAAAGTAGTGGGTGCCCGAGGATCCGACCTAATCCTGGAGCCGCCCTAATCCCGGAGCAGGGTCACCTTTCAACCATTCCCTCTAGCAAAATGCCAGGCGTCATTCTGACTAAACTGTGGCTCTCAACACCAGTGTTTACAGCATCACAATTCATAACAGCAAAGTTATGGACCAACCTAGGTGCTTGTCAATAGACCAATGTTTCAAGAAAACATAGTATATATACACAAAAGAATTTTATTCAGTCATAAAGAATGAATTATGTCATTTATGATAAATTGTTGAAACTGGGAGAATATCATATTAAGTGAAATAAGCCAGACTCAGAAAGTCAAAGGTTGAATGTTTTTCTCTTGTGTGAAAGTGAGACAGGAAGTGGGGAGAGAGGAAGAGGGACAGATAGAAGGAGAGAGGGAGAAAGGAATCTCATGAAAATAGAAGGAGACCAATTGATTAAAGGAATGGGATTGAGAGAGGAAGGAGGGGAAGGCATGGGGAAGTACCGAGGAATGAAATCTACTAAATTATGCTATGTCCATGTATGAATATACCACAATAAATCTCACTTATATATAACTATAATGCAGTATTAAAATAACGATAATAATAATAATAGAGGGGAGATCACTAGAATAAAGCAAGCTGACCATGGGTTGGGAGGAGGGAAGGAAAAGTGGAAGGTGCCTGGGAAGGAGATTGATCAAATTGTTATGTGTATGTATAAATATAGCATAATTAATCTATTATGTATAATTATAATGCATCAAAAAATTATAGTGTCATTCACTATGGATAAGCATATATGGATAGCAGGACTGCTGAAATGAAGGATACTTTTCCTCTGAGTTATATCATAGTTTGGTAGAATGAAAACTGCAAATTTCCAAGAGATGGAAACCACTTTTTCTTCACCAAATGCAATGCTAATTAACAGATGTTACTCTACTAATTTGTAAATTTAAAGGCTGATCACTCAGTAAATAAAACATATTTGAGGCTCTGCCAGCAGGTATTTTGCCTCCACAGAGGCAGTTTGGTTAATGGTTTCCACAGAGTAGGATGGGGGTCAGGGAGTGTTATGCTTGACCTCTTTTATCAGTCCTACGCCAGAAATGGTAGTCCATGACTATATGCAATCCTGATTTATCTTTACCCTACTTAGGGCAAATAAATGGACTTCTCTTTTTTATTAGAGATATACATATCAAAAAAGTAGACAAGGATAATATCTACACCAAGATGCTTTCTGCATATAAGCTGCAGATATTAGAGGCTCTTGCTTCCAAGGGTAGTTCAGTGGTCTCTCTTGTTAGAGAAGAGAAACTCCTTTGATCCATTTGGTTTAATTGTCAGGATAGTCATCATTTGCTAATCTCATGACTTTGCAAGAGAAGATCTCAGGATCTATACTATAACTAAATGAATTTGCTTCCCCTGAACCCTGAGCTACAGTCACTTGTAATGAGCAACAGGCTTTTCCCTTCGATAGAGAAACGAGTGTGACCTCCCTTGGCCCATGCTTGTTGGCAATAGGGCATACTGTACTATATTTAGGAAAACAAAGGCATTAAAATCTACTTTTGAAATTAATACTTAAGCATAACCAAAGGATAAGACCAAACACTAAGACCACTCTCCAAGTGGATCAGTTGAAGCAACCCTCACTAACTTGGTTGTTCCAGGCATTGCAACCTGATCCACAGATTGTGCTAGAATCCAGAACTCTGACTTCACAAATAATTTCTTTTTAAAGACAACCAGTTATCCCTTAGTTTTCCTGACATTATCCCCAGTACCCCTTTCATAAATAAGCATCTGTAAGAAGAAAAAAAACTTTTTTTCTTTCTCTTCAGCTTCCTCTTTGTCCCATTCTACTTTATATTGACTGGTGTATTGGTGAGCTTTCCACTACTGTAACAAAATACTCAAGAGAGCCAACTTGATAAAGGAAAGGTTTATTTTGGATTATAGTTTCTTGAGATTATGGTTGCTTGGCCATATTGCTTTGGGCCTGTGGCAGTGTAGCATGTAATGGCAAGAGTAGATGATAGAGAAAGCTTATTTACCTTATGATGACCAGAAAATAGAGACAGGAAGGAGCCAAGGGTTATTTCCCTATGACCTAACTTCCTTCCAGTAAGTCCCACCTCTTACAGATTCTCAATAGTTTTTCATGGGCCAGGGAAAAAGCTTTCAACATTTGAGCCCATGGGTGCCATTAAATTCAAGCTATAGCAACTAGCATTGGTGCGTACATCTGTTTCCCTAGTTTTTTGTTTGTTTGTTTGGAGATGTGGTTTCACACTGTGACCCAGGCTGGTCTTGAACTTGTAGGCTCAAGTAATGCTCCAGCCCCAGCCTCCCAAGTATGTGGGTATACCAGCATGTACCACCACAGCTGATTTGTACTTTTTAAAAGGAAGACTTACATATCTTACATATTCCTCACAGTGAATACAGGATACTGAATTTTTTTTTTTGGGGGGTGCTGGGGACTGAACCCAGTGTATTGTAATGCTCAGCATGTGCTCTACCACTGAGCTACACCTCCATCCCTGGGTACATTTTTTTTAAAAGAAATTATTGCTAGGAAGAAGCCCTTTCACACTGTTCTTTCCTCAGCCCTGTCTTTCACCCAATCTTCACAGATTTTTTTCTATAAGCACATCCACCTTCTCTTTTTAGTCTGTCTCTCTGCACACAGTTCTCCATCTCCTTGATAGCAAGTCATACATTTAGTCAAATGGCAGGGTGTTTTATAGGTACCTAATTTTTGACTTTTAACTCCATAGG